ATTATTATTATATTATTATTATTATATTATTATTATTATATTATTATATTATATTAATTATTATATATAATTATTAATATAATTAGAAAATATGCTATTTAGAAGCACAAAGTATTGTCAATATCGATACTGACATATTCAGGAAGCTTTTCTCTATCTTCTAGGCCATATATGATCTTTCTAACGTTTTTAATTTTCATGCAATACTTCTAAATCCTCCAGTGGTCACTAGAAGGCAGAAAAATGTTTCAATTTGTCGAAAGCTGTTATTTACACTGCATAAGTCACGTTTTAATTGCACTTTATTAATGATAATATGCAGCTATTTTCATTACTGCTTCACTAGTTTACAGAAATTTTCTTCGCATGAAATGTTTGATGAATTTGTCGAGCGCCAGGTCGCGCTATGAATAATGGATGACGGAGTGAATGACTGAATAATGTCAGTAACAAAATAGTGATCTAAACTGTTCCCCATAAAGCGAAGAAATAATCCGCTTCTGCATCGTATGCTCACATTAAATTATCAAGTCAAAGTAGTTGTAAATTACTATCGAACGCTTTCCTGGATGAAGGGGTACCATAATGGTGTAAGGGAAAGGTGTAAGTGGCGTCAAACTACACACGTTCCTTTTTTCTTCGGCTTTAGTTTCGTAGTTGATGCGCGGTTGGCGATGCGGTTGATGACACGCGATTGATGTCCGTAGTGCGATATTTTCTTGGTTCCAATTCATTGACATTTCAAAATATCTCTAAAATGATTGGAACGTTGCCGACGCGTTAAAAGTGCTGTTTAATGGGACGAGTCGAAAGCCTTTAAAATAATAGATTGTACTTTTTCGTGCTTAGCGAGACTTTCAATCGGAAGCGAAAGATGAAAGCATTCAAGAAACGATTTGGATAATATTACAGAATTTCACACAATATATCAGATATTCCACTTAAGAATCTCGTTGGACGATTTAAAAAAGTTCGATTTTGCATAAAATTTCGCACCCCAGCGAGATCGCTTAGGTTTCAGTGTAACATTATACGCGAAGAACCTGTCCCCGAGGCTTTACATTTGAATATTTTAAATACAAAATGCAAGTATGTATTCGTAATTTTTAAACGCGCCTAACTACATGTAGTGCCATATGTAGTAAAGCAGGCGATGCTTATTTTTCGATACTTCTTTTAAAATATGCTCCCCTTCCTCGATCATGTTGTCCAACAAGAAAGAGAGATGAAATAAGGAAGCAGAGTATACTTACATGCGTGATAAAAGCTTCGCCCAAGATTTATGAAAATTATGCTAATGAAATGCAGCGATCATATTCAGTTGTAGTATAAATTACGAGCGCGCAATTTACAGTGCGAAGAAGATGTTATGGGAATAAAGAACACTGCGTCGAAATTGCGCGACGTTTAGTATCATTTCAATGTAGGCAATAGTAATTACTGCAAAGATCCAACGAAAATGATCGTGCTATTTATACTGTATTTTCTATGGTGTTTTCGAAACGGTATAGTGCAGCATATAATACAAGTTTACGTGATTATTACTTATTAAAAGAAGGTTATGTCAATGGTATTTAGTAGAGGCTATGTACTAGATAAAGAGTCATTTTTAAATATATTTTTACTTCACAAATATTGATAATTTGCGTATTAATTAATGGAAACGATTTCACAAAAATCGTAATCATTAATAGAAAATTTTACTTTATTTTATATTAGGAAATTCAATTTTACAACTCTAATGTATGTAACAAGCATATTTTAGTAGTCAAATCCCACTATACCAATTTTATTTATATAATTGTGATGACTGTTAATAAATGTAAAGGAGGAGCTACGAAATGTTAAGCATTAAATATCATTTCTTAATTTATCGCTATACCTGATTTATAGTGAAATGTGCTATCATACTGTCCCACAATATTTCAATAAAAATTCTATTATTTTTCAAATAAAATTGTTTAGACTGGCGAAACGCAACTCTATTTCATCTGCGTACGTTTATAGCGATATTTTGCAAGATCGTACAGAAACGAAACCTTGGTCGTAATGTTAAATAAATAAAAATTCCGTCAATTTTAAAGCGTGCCATATTTTTGTCCCGTGACTGTGGTATCCCATGGGTAGTAGTGGGTGTCGAGCTGAAGTCGTGGTATCGTCTTTTGGGGCTATTTCAGCAGAAGGGTGCGCGCCGGCGCGGCTGATCAGGGGCATAAATCTACCGGGGCATTTTCAGATATCGCTCCGGACGAACAGATTTACGTTCGACGTGTCGAGCCCGCATAAAAACGGGTCCCGGCCGTATTAGCCGTCGTTCCGTACGAGTACTCAATTACCCTGGCTGTTACAAAGTCGTCCGTGGACAGTATAAGTTACGGGACACTAAACAAAATACCGTGCAGCTTACCGTTTCGTGACATTAACGGGCTTTGTTTCGCAGTATATTACGTGCAAGTAATTCGTGCGGTGCGTCGTCCGGGGCCCGAAAGACACACCTCGCCGGGAACGAGGGAGGCACTGAATTATATTACGGTCTCCCGGGGCCGCCGTGCGCGCGCAAAGGAACGACCGGGCCCTTTTCGGAGTTGGCGCGCGATAAGTAACGAGTAACGTGAGAAGAAATCTAACGAGATGCTTTTAAATTATAGTTAACGGCGTCGTTGAATACGGTGTGTGGCCCCCGTATCGGCGACCGAACGAATACGCGTTATGCATAGAAAATTAGCTCGCGTTTATCTCGCGTTATTATACTAGAGACGCCACGAGATGCACCGCCGAGATTTCACTAATTGCACTGGGCGCGCCGGGGTCCGGTGCTACCGCCGGACAGGAAAGGGGTGGGCCCGGCTGATTCTGGGAATGATTCTTTATTTATTTTAATCGCTGGTCGGCGATTGGTTATTACACGGTCACTATGATTACAATAATGATGAAACATGCACCGAGACGGGGGTTGAAACGGTTTCGAAATTAACTATTTCGAACGGCTGGTCAATAGTTTATATCGGTCAATATTGGTAAAAAAGTTTAAAAATGTTACGAGATCCGAGGAAATGCTGCAAAGTCTGATCGTATGTACACGTATAGTAATTCGATTAGAAAATATAATTCTTGGAATCTCACGATTTTTGCAGATTTCTGTAAAAGGAGAACGCATTTAAAAATTCTGGAACTAATTCACGAATGGAAATGAAGCTTCTTTCGTTTGATTCGCGAAGGATTTTAATGCCGCGAGATTATTTTGTCCATTATTAAATAATCAGTTTTCTAAAATTACGAAATATGCTCACTGCATACGGTGAACAATAGAATTCGCATGATCTCGAGCTGCTCGAAGCAGCATTCCAAGCGTTCGAGTTGCATCTCCAGACGGTAAAATGGCGACACCACACCCAGGATTTAGATAAACTGCACAATCACCGTTTAATCGGTTCGTTCAGTTACAGCATTCGGAAACTCCTGCATACGTTATGCTCTAAGCCGATCTGAAAGGTTATAGAATCGTCTTTTGACTTGAACCGGTACTTCGCGGTGGATGACATCG